TGATATATGCAGTTAGACTAATGTCTGAATGCTCCTTTGGACATTTTTGGTGAAAAATTCATTGGATTACTGCAGTCGCAAACCAACATGACATCCATTGCCATACATTTATATATACACTGATGATTTTTTCTGAAATTTTGTGGCAAATTTTTTCATGATTTGGAAATGAAATATGATGAAAAAAATAGCAGTTATTGTAGCAAACTCAGTTTTGTGTTTTTACCCAAAATGATAATTATCTGATTTTATTTTAGATTTCAATGATTTCTTTTATGTAAAACACAAATCCAAAACTCTTTTTTCACGTTTAAGAGAAGATTTCTATCTAAAAAAGGAAACAAGCAAACAAATCCCCCCCCCCCCTCCAAAAAAAAACCAGTAAAATCTGTCTAATCCTGTTAAACACTTGACAAAACCCAAAGCAAAAGAACAGCCCTTTTATTATACGACCGCAAAAAATTTTTGCGGTCGTATATTGGTATGACGTTGGCGTCGTCGTCGTCGTCTGGCGTCGTCCGAAGACACATTGGTTTTGGCACTCTAACTTTAGTTTAAGTGAATGGATCTCTATGAAATTTTACCATAAGGTTCAATACCACAAAAGGAAGGTTGGGATTGATTTTGGGGGTTATGGTACCAACAGTTAAGGAATTAGGGGCCAAAAATAAGCATTTTTGTAACTTCCAGACATAACTTGTGTGTTAGTGTATGGATCTCTCTGACATTGTACCACAAGGTTCCATATCACACAGGGAATACTGGGATTAATTTTGGGGGTAATTGCCTCAAAATATTAGGAATTAGAGGCCAAAAAAGGGGCAAAAAACAAGCATTTTTTTAGTTTCATGACAATAACTTGTGTGTAAGTGTATGGATCTTTCTGAAATTGTACTACAAGGTTCCATATCACAAAGGGAAAGCTGGAATTGAGTTTGGGGGTAATTGCCCAAAACGTTTAGGAATAAGGGGCCAAAAAGAGGCCAAAAATAAGCATTTTTCTAGTTTCCAGACAATAACTTGTGTTCAAGTGTATGGATCTCTCTGAAATTGTACCACAAGGTTCCATATCACACAGGGAATGCTGGGATTGATTTTGGGGGTAATTGCCCAAAACGTTTAGGAATAAGGGGCCAAAAAGGGGCCAAAAATAAGCATTTTTCTAGTTTCCAGACAATAACTTGTGTTCAAGTGTATGGATCTCTCTGAAATTGTACTGCAAGGTACCATACCACAAAGGGAAGGCTGGGATTGAGTTTGGGGGTGATGAATCATAAGGGGGTTCAAAAAATTTGGGGGGGGGATTTTTTTTTTTTCCTTTTTTTTTTCTTTTAAAATTTTCCATTTTAAGTTGGTTATTTCTGTTTTATATTTAAAAGCAAATAATAACAATATGGTAGGAGATACACACCAAACAGGATGTGTAAATTATTATAAAATAAGTATTGTGCAATAGCAAGAAATTTTCAATTGCACAGTATTGCACAATAGCAAGAAATCTTCAATTGCACAGTATTGCGCAATAGCAAGAAATCTTCAATTGCACAGTATTGTGCAATAGCAAGAAATATCCAATAGCACAATATTGCGCAATAGCAAGAAATTGTCAATTGTACAGTATTGCGCAATAGCAAGAAATATTCAGTTGCACAGTATTGTACAAAAGAAGATACTTTTAAATTGCTTATTTCTTGACCAATTTCAATGGGGTTTTATTCTTGAATTCTTGGGGTTCTTTAATATGCTGATTCTAACCGTGTATTAAGTTTTTGGATTTTGGGCCCCGTTTTTAAATTGGTCCACATTGAGGTCCAAAGGGTCCAAATTAAACTTTGTTTGATTTCATCAAAAATTGAATTATTGGGGTTCTTTGATATGCCGAATCTAACCGTGTATTTAGATTCTTAATTTTTGGTTCTGTTTTCAAATTGGTCTACATTAAGGTCCAAAGGGTCCAAAATTAAACTTAGTTTGATTTTAACAAAAATTGAATTCTTAGGATTCTTTGATATGCTGAATCTAAACATGTATTTAGATTTTTGATTATGGGCCCAGTTTTCAAGTTGGTCCAAATCGGGGTCCAAAATTAAACTTTGTTTGATTTCAACAAAAATTGAATATATGGGGTTCTTTGATATGCTGAATCTAACCATGTATTTAGATTTTGGATATTGGACCATAATAGGTGAATGTCCAATTTAAAATTTTTAAGTTCTTAGACCACATTCATTCTGTGTCAGAAACCTATGCTGTGTCAAATATTTAATCACAATCCAAATTCAGAGCTGTATCAAGCTTGAATGTTGTGTCCATACTTGCCCCAACTGTTCAGGGTTCAACCTCTGCGGTCGTATCAAGCTGCGACCTGCGGAGCATTTTATTGCTGTTATAGTTTGGCATGTCTTGTTTAGTAAAAATTCATTTTTATGCCCCACCTAGGGGCATTATGTTTTTTAGGTCTGTGCATCTGTTCCTTGTCCGTTAGTCTGTCCGTCTGTCCCGCTTCAGGTTAAAGTTTTTGGTCAAGGTAGCTTTTGATGAAGTTGAAGTCCAATCAACTTGAAACTTAGTACACATGTGCCCTATGATATGATCTTTGTAATTTTAATGCCAAATTAGAGTTTTGACCCCAATTTCACAGTCCACTGAACATAGAAAATGATCGTGTGAGTGGGACATCCGTGTACTATGGACACATTCTTGTTTTACATAATATTGTTCCTCTAAAGTCAAATACTAGGTGAAGTTTCAACACTTTAAGGCTTGCAGTAATAAACTGACTGATGATTAAAATTTTGATTTTCCTTTTCAAAATTACACATATAGAATAAATGAAATACTGAAGAAGAATAAAAATCATTTTAAGGGGAATCCCTTATTTAGATCTAAATCAAAGTTTGAATAGAATGAAATCTCAAAAGACGAAAATAATGTGATTTTGCCATATATTTTTTGTTTCATTTTCATTTTCTATCAGATTCTTAATCTTATGTATAATAGTTTCATATTAATTGCTGTAATATTATAAGATTTAAATTAGGATTGTCACTGTCTATAATTTACAAATGATGATCAAAGTATCATAGATACAAATATCATTTTCTATTTACCTTGCAGATCTTGTTCTTTGTTATAATCAAATTTTAAGTTTCCAGAAAGATGAAATTGGGGGTTTGAAAAGTGTAAATTATAAAGTTGAATAGTTCATTCTACAATGCCATGTGAAACGTAGCACCTGAAGTTGTAGTTTTTGCAACTTATTTCACTGACATGAGAATTATGTTGTTTTTATTGTCAACATTTTTCAATCAATAATGGACAATCTCAACCTGAAAAGGTGCAACAAATGATCTCCTAGCAATGTTGATAAAAAATTAGATATTGAACACTCAGTGGTATTTTTAAACTCAGAGTAAAAGATCAAATTTAACTGTGCTTTGATGTTGTACGCAAAAATGGAATTTCTAAAATGCTGAAATAGGACATGATGATTTGCTGCTTTTAGAAGATCAGTAAAACAATGTCATATAGATTTAATATCACAAACATGTTGTGCAATCTTATGTGCATAAGCAAAAGGCTGTTTGATCTTTGATGCAATTTATTCTTCTGACTTGCAGAGAATTTTTGACTCAAATCTAAAAAAAATAGTTATTTTGAAATTAAATCATATCTCTTAGTAACTAGTCAAGATTATAAAAACCAGATGCTTCTATTCTATGTATGGAAGATATTTTTTAAAATTATATTTGAAAAAACTGCTGTGCTTATTAAATTTCATGAACATCTATAGAATATAGTTAATAAACTGATAACTGTGGATTTCATTTATTTTTCAGTGGTATCAATTTTCAGGAATTGAGAAACAAGTACTTTAGTGAAAACTTGATTTCTAGATTTTGCCAAAGTTTGCATACAATCAGGAATTTATACTTTTTTGAACACTTCAATTCATGGTTAACATATATACAAATGAAATCCACAAATGTTGGTACTCCACAAATAATAATGAATCCACAGAATGTGTTAAACATTGGCGCTAGAAATCAGATGGTAATTAATGAATACATATTTTTGCATCATGCCTGCAATTATGTGAGACATAGGGCTGCTATTTCCAATGTCTATGTTGGTGGCTTTAACCATAGTTTAAGCTTGTGATTAGATATCACTGGTGCAACAGATCTCATAGTTAACAGTTTATTTATCTATAGCAAATTAATAGTCTACGTGATCCCTCTACAGTTTATTTATTTATAGCAAAAATAGCCTAAATAATCCCTTGTATAATAAACAAATACCCTAGGTATGATCCCTCATAATAAACAAATACCTTGCAAGGTCCCTCATGTAATAAACAAATACCCTGTAAGATCCCTCCTGCAATAAACAAATACCCTGTAAGGTCTCTCATATAATAAACAAATACCCTGTATGATCCCTCAAATAATACATATGCAGTTAAATAATACTGTTACAATTATAAATGAAACTGAATAGAACCCTCATCTGTTCAATTGATTCAGTTCAAACACCCATCAAGTTGCTACAGTTTAAAATATTAAACAATTATTGTTTTTCTGTAAAATCTATAGGCACACATCAGCAATTCTTTTCAAACCAGTTATTGATGTTAAGAACTTAATACTTAATGTTGAATAGGGGTATATCTGTCAGATAAAGTGTTGACTTGTGTTGAAAAACGTAGAGAAATACTATGATAGGTTATTGAACGAAGGTACCTTGTTAATTTGGACTAATTGTATTTTATTCACAAAATCAATTCAATTATGGGGCCCATGCACATGGGACAATCTTTTAATTACAAGTTATATTGACCGTATGGAGTAACGATATTGACTTTAGCATAGAAAAGTTGCATAATGTTTCTTAAACTAAGATGAAATTGATTAAAAGATGTTAATTGATAATAACATTTTCTTGTTGTAGTTGTGATTGGTTTATTGACATAAATTTCATTAAAGCCATTGGATTTTCAGTTTGAACTAAAGGTTACCTGAGAGAAAAAGAAGCATTTACATACAAATAAGAGAAGGAAAAAGAGAAAACAAAGATACAGGATTAAATATACAACTTGAGGGTAACTATATATTTATTATTTCAGTTTTGTAGGAAAATGGAAAAAAAATGTTTATAACTTTTATTGATCTTACATTTAGTAGAAACGTATAAAACAATTAAAGGACTGCTTTAATGAAAAATTAAAATAAATTCAATGCTTGAAACGACATGATAATAACGGTGTCAACATTTTGTATTACCGTGCATATTTTTATTCTATTATTATTCTATTAGTCAAAATGTATGCCACATTGTGTTTTTTATAAATGTTCATTTCATTTATGAAAGGTTATTACCATTTTTAGCACAAAATTCCATTGGTACATGGTTAAATAACCTCTTCAATTAATTGATGTGTTAAGAACTGATAAAAAAGGAAGTAATTTTCATGATAAAAGTTCTTATGTGCTTCATGACTTGGTTGACTATAACAGAATATTTGTATCACAGATGACCATAGATATTGTTCGATTGGTCATAGAAATAATCAAATCAACTTTTCCTTTGTTTATCACACAATGTGACTTATCAGCTGTTTATACATGTCATAAGTAACAGAACTGTATCACTGATGAAGTAGGAACTGCTAAATACCCTTCTTGAGTATCAGAGCTCACCTGTGACTTTTGTTTTGATTTGGTTCTGGACTGTTGTTTGTCTTTTTGACTTTTAGCTTTTATATGTGGGGTTGTCTGTTTTACTTTATTTTTTATAGCCATTTGTATTTTCAACCCTTTTCCATGCCACTTGAAACATCCAGTTATGAACCAAATATTTTATAATTTGTTCCTGCTATCGTGTATTGTCGCTCTTTCTGAAAATGACATCAGAACATTACCAGTACATTGTATATGAAATTTTGTTCAAATTTATATATTTGGAGTATATTGCAATTTATAGATACAGACTGTCTGGAATGCACCTTAATATTCTAAAGGAGTGACAGCACACTACTTGTAATTTTATTTTATCAGCAATTTATGTCAAAAATATCATGAGATTCCTGTCATACTTTGTTATGTAAATGAAATACTATATGAAAAAAGTGAGATGGGACCTTAGAGGAGGGCTTATAAAGAAGTATATATATGGTTCATTGAAATTTTATCATTACATGTTTTAATTTTTGAAAAAAATAGTTGCAGTTTTACCAATAAAAAATGCCTCCACCCCTTTTGTGTTGTCCTTCCTTTCACCCTTTAAAAAATTTAGACTGCCATTGTTGTTTCATTTTAATCATAAACTAAAATATTCCTTTTATGTTCATAGTTTAAAAAAAAAAAAAATAAACATAGGTATAGCACCAGGTTGCACATGGCATGAAATTTATATAAACATTTCCTCTTCAAAAGAGACAGACAATTTCTACATATTTCAAGATGTATGGCACTATCTTGTTTGTTGAATACTGCATTCCCTTGTCAAAATTGATTTAACTGCTGTTTGTGGTAAATATAATGATCAATGGTCAATAGTTTGTGATCATTAAAACATTTTCTTTACCGCAGTCTTTAGTGGTTGTTAGTTTAGAATACAGAGAGTTAACTATTGTAAAAAGACACCATAAGATGCTTAATTGCAATGTTATGGATTATTTTATATTATTAAATGGGATGTGTTTTCATATATATAATTGAATTGGTTTTTGTTGTTGCCAAATTAGAGAAACGAGTAGGTTTGATTTTTTATCAAATAAACTTAGTCTATTAGTTTGAGTTGATGTGGTAGCTAGTAATCATTTGACTTTATTAAATCTTGTATCAACGTTCAATATTATCAAAACTGGTATGCTAATATAAATGCTATTGCAAAAGTGTCTATCTATAAATGTTTTGAATTAGATTTTTGTATGGAGAAATATTTCCATTATTATTTTAATACCAACATACTTACCATATTCAAAGTGGAAGTTTAAAATTAAATTTAGAAACAGATCGCAATGACAATGTTACAAAACAGTTGTCTTTGTTGATGTTGTACAAGGAATATAATATATCATTTCCTGTTGATTTGCTCCGTATAAAGAACACTTAGATATAACTTTTTGCCAAAATATATTTGTTCATGGCCAAATGTAAAGCTTAAAAAACTGTTACAAGCTGGGTCAAAAAGCTTAATAAAGAAACTATGTAACTATTTTAAGGTGTCATGAAAATTAATATCACAGATTATTAGTTAATATTGTGTATGTGCTATGATAAGTTATCTCTGCATAATTTGATTGTTCTCTGTATTCTGTTATATAATAGTTGTCATATATTTATGTATATACCTTGTTATTTTGCTGCAGCAATGTTGTTGCTAATGCAGTAAAGATTCATTCAATTCAGTATTGCCAGCAAGAAGCTATAATCTCAGACCTTCAATGCTGAGATAATGGTTTTGTATGTTCGTTACCAGAAAATAGGATTGTATTTTATTTTATTATGTAATGGTTTGTTTAGATTTATTATAAAAAAAAAGAAGATGTGGCATGGGATATTATCATGCATACCCATGACACAATTTCTATATGAAGAAAAGTAGATGTGGGGTTTACACAATTAGACAGTGACCCCAAAGACAAAAAATACCAAAAGTCCTCTAGATAGGGTGACATCAGCCGACAGCGCCAAAAGTTTTAAATGGTTGGAATGTTCCATGTTAGGTTTTTTCTGTAAATTATGATAGCAAAGCAATACATTTTTTTGTTAGAAATATTTTTAAATTATAATGTTTGGAAGAATCAACATTTCTACCTTTCTGGTAATTTTGCAACAGGAATTGTATGAAAAGCCAAGGCTTATGGTAGAATTAAAACATGTAATTTTTGTGGCAGGATGAAAATCACAATAATCAAAAGACATTTTGTATGTTTGATACTAATATGCTACTGTAACAGGAATTACAATGATTAATCTTAATTGCAAGTTGTCAAAGATTTGCACACATTAAATACTGAATTAATAGCATCTATGATCAGTGCTATGAACTGTGATGAGCCTCTTGTTTAATTTGTTTTAGCTATCAGGAAGTATTATTACGCAACAACACTTTCGAAACAGAATAATAAAACTAAATAATCAGCATTTTACCACTATAGATGTAAAGGAATTGTATATGTAAATGAATTTTTAATGTTACAGTAAATATACATCAAGGCTTATTATTCTCAATGCTGTATTTATAATCCTTATTATATTTTATGTAATTGTTCAGACCCTCCTTCCATACAAACATATGCCATTACAATAAGTACTATGTTTACATCAGAAAGCTTTTTACAAAATAATCTTATTCCCAACATTCCATACAGTCAAATGTCCTTAGCATACCACATTCCTGTCAATGGAAGGGGATAAAGTTCAGGCTTTTTCATAAGCATTGAATTGTCAGATTAGTTTTCCCATAAAATCAATGGGAATAAAATATTTCAGAACTATTGATTGTGTCTTGCATATTGTCAATTTTCTGTGAAACAAATTATACTTGAAATATTGGTTTATAAACGATCAAATGCAATCATTTCAAAATCTTCTAAAAGTTCCAGTATTGGTCTCCATCATCCTATAATCATTATATAAAGCAATAAAACAAAAGTTTTTGTATGTGTTTCAGACAGTTTAACAGTCAAGCAAGGTTTGAAAGTGTGATAGTCTTTCTAAAGGTGTAAATTCTTAGAACTGTGGCTACATTTTATACTTAAGTTATAAAAGGAATGGTTGGATAGATTGTAATCATAAAAGCTATGTTTATTGTGTAAACATTGGAAATTCTTGTGGGTTTTTTTTTAGCTGCACATTGCATCAGTCTATGATCAAATTTGGTATGTAGTTAATATAAAAATGCAGAGATGTGTTATGATTGCCAATGAGACAACTGTCCACCAGAGAGGTATGATATAACAATGCAGAGATGTGTTATGATTGCCAATAAGACAACTATCCACCAGAGTGTAAATGAAGTAGATGTATTAGCAATTATAGGCAAGGCTTTTTTTACTTTTTCATTTAAACAATAAGGAAATCAACCTTAACATTAACATGCTATATTGTGATTCTTTTGGTTACTGTTTTAAATCATTGCTATATGCTAGCTTAAGGTTTAGTGTTGTGTTTGGTTTTTTACATATATTTTATGAAAGTTTCCTCAAGTTAATCATCCTTTTTGAAAAACTTCTAACATTTTATACATCTAAAACCCTGTCTTACAAATCTATAATTGAGTTATCTTATTATAAAATTTGCATTGAAACAGTAGTTATTTGATACCAATAAAAACCAGATTACAATTTAGATACATTCATCAGAGTAATTGGGGATAATTGAATTACATTTATGCCAATGGCATCTTATAGTTAAGATAATTTTATGAAATTAGATGCATTTTTATGGCACAATAATATTCATGTGTACAAATATCTTTGTAATTTCCATAAAAACACGAATGTCATCAGTTTATTGAGGCTGACAGATCTTACAAGATCTACCAATTACCTGTGTTGAGATCAAAAGACAATTATAGATTTCCCATCAAGAAAAGGTTTTATATCCCTTTGAAATGAACACTGATTGTTACATAAAAGGATGCTATCGTAGTTTGCTTGTAAAATTTCATTATGCATTCATTTGATCCGATTTTCATTCATATGCAGTAATTAACTAAGACTTTAGGAGCAGTTATACTCTTATGGTTGAATGGTAAGTTAGATTTTACATAGATTTCTGAAAATAGGAGAAAAAAAACCGTTTAAATTATACTTTGATGTTTTGAATAAGTATACCCACTATCAGTGGATGTGGTGTCTTGTTATTTATCTTTTTATAATGATTTAAGGGTGGGCAAAAGACCCAACATTTAGACTGAAAAGGGAGAATTTGAAAAAAAATTGTTGCTATTAGATTTTCTGTTCATATTGCCACCAATATTCACAACTGGTATTGACAAGATATTTTTTGTCTGTAATTTTCAAGTTTAAAAATAATACGATTTTAGTGAAACTGAGTTTGTAACTGCATCAGGTAGAAGTCAGAAGTTTTT